GTCTTGTTTTGGGAAGATGTTTGGGTTGGTGAAAACTCCCTTAGAGATAGATTTCCTTCTATTTATTCCTTGTCTGAAAACAAAAGAAAAGTGATATCTTTAGTGTTTGTTGATACGTCTTCCCAAACATCTTCCCTTAGAGAAGAGAACCAACCCAAACATCTTCCCAAAACAAAAGAAGAGAACCAACCCAAACATCTTCTCTCTTTGGCTGCAGGTGGACTCCCTCCTCGAGCATGGTGAACCTCTTTGATCCAGCTTTTTATAGGCAACCAACCGTTCGTGGAAGGATTATGTGGACAGCCACTAGAGCTGCTGCATTGTGGTCAGTGTGGGAGGAAAGAAACAATAGGATCTTCAAAGGCAGTTCTAGACCCAAGGAAGAGGTTGTGGAAGGAATAACTACTAAGGTTATCCATTGGTTGAAATCCTATGATCTTTTTAAGGATTTCTTAGTTGAAGACATTTATAGAAGTTGGGGTATTGTGGCATCTACTACTACTTCCAAAGCTATGATACAGGAAATTTGGTCCCCACCGGCACAACAAAGGGTGAAATTGAACTTTGATGGAAGCTCTATAGGTAATCCAGGCCCATCTGGTATAGGAGGTGTTTTCAGAGATAATGAAGGCAAGATAATGGTTTTGTTTTCAGGTACAATAGGAGTTGGAGATTCCTTAAGAGCGGAAATCTTGGYACTACATCAAGGTGTAAAACTGGCCAAACAATTGGGCTACAGCAGATTGAGATAGGAGACCCTAGTTGGTAATTGGGTGGATGCAATCAGGGCAGCTGGGAATTTGGCAATATAGACAGCTGATAAGGGAAATTCTTAGCATAACAAGGGAGGTGGGTGTTTGGTTCAAGTAGGTAAGGAGATCAGCAAATGGTTTTGCTGACGCCCTAGCAAAACAAGGGACTGTAAGGGAGAGTCTTTATTGGGCAGTGCTGTAATGTTTGATGTTTATTGGATCAACCTTTTCTGATAAGGGTTGAATTCTGTATTTCAGTTTAATTTATCTCTAATGAAAGTTATCGTTTCTGATAAAAAAAAAAAAGGATCAGAGCTCAATTAGTATTGTTGTTGTTTCTTTAGTGAAAATTTTACTATATCCTATATGCAACAACTAGAACTTTAGGTATTCAAAAGGTCTTTGGTTTTTGTTTCTTTTAAAGTTAATAAACCATTACTATTGCACAAGCACCCAAAAATGTAATTTAGAAGTTAACCATTGTAAAAGTTTGAACCACATTAGAATGGATAAGAAATAACTAAAAAAAAAAACTCATAAAAGTGTCTGCATGGGCCAAGGTGCAAGGTGCACTAGGATGTGCCTTTGAAAGGAGTCATACCTAGGTTGAAGCAAGGTGCACACCTTAAAATGTGCTTTATTTGTGCACCTAGATATGCTTAAGACATCTTTTAAAACATTGCTCTTATAGATGCCTAGTTAGATTAACCATGACTGATGCAAATATATAAGCACAAAATTTCGACCCATGCTGTAGACATATTCTAAGTTCTAACTAGGAACTTACTCTTCTATTTTTGATAAATAGGAACTTAACTCTCTCTTTAGATGCTCTAGTGATAACTTCCCTAAACCCACCATATTATCTCCCTAGGGACCCCATCATATGCTTCTCATAGATCAATAAGAGCCATGTGAAGGTTCCTCCTCTTTCTTAACTTGCATATCAACTTTTTAAATGAAAAAGATAGCTTCGATGGTTGGCATCCATGGCATGAAGTAGAGTGATCATTTTCAACCCAGCCTGGCCCAGCCCGCAATATATTATTTATATATATATTAAGTACATACTTGTGTACATGTTCTATATTATATTATGTACATTTATTCATAAAAAAATATATTATGTATATAAATATTATAAAATAATACATATTATAATATATATATTATAAAATTTAGTTTGTAACTTAGGCCCAAAGCCTGGCCTGGCCCAGCCAATGATCACCCCTAGCATGAAACCAAAGCTGTTTAGGTAATTAAATAACACCATTACATTGCAAAAAACATGCCAAGAATCTAGGTGATCAACTTAAATGGACACTTTAATTTCTAGAATTAAACAAGAAAACGAGGAAAGACAATAGCAGTATACTAGACTGCGTATTAAAGACAAAAGAAACCAAAAACTAAGTAGATGAAAATGTTGATTTAGACTGGAAAGAATGAAGAAAATAATGATGCATCATATTGGCTGTGCATGGAAGCTTGATAGTTGGGTCAATATCATCTTTCCAGGTTCAGTGGTTTCATACTTTCATGTAAATAAGGGCAAGATGACAACTAAAGCAAAATAAAATAATGAAAGAACTCTGACCTTTACTCGGATCTCCTTCATTGGGTGAGGGGTCATTAAAGAGCGGATTGTGGTAACAATGGGCCCCTGCAATCATAATACTGACACATGAAAATCCTGAAAAAAACATACATATGCATGTATTTCAATAAAGATAAGCGGCTTACCTGCATGCCACAAACAACTATTTGATCTCCCTCATGAAGCACACCATTAACTAATATGACATCAATAGTTGTCCCATGGCCTTCAACAACTTTAACCTCCAACACCGTACACTGAACAGTCCCATCCCAAAATTAGAGATAGCAGATTCCACCAATTAGATGCATATAGCTAACTGAACAGTGACCAGAGAAAAGACACACCTGTACTTCATTGCTAAACATAAGCTTTTCCACCATAGTTTTCTGAGTCCACTGCACCAACAGCAACAGAAGATCTGGGATGCCTTCACCACTGTTATATTCCCAGAATATCAGAAGATCAGAATCCAACCAGAAAAGAAATGGATTAACAACATCCACAAAAAAAGGAAAAAAGAAAGAAAGAACAAATGAAAGAAAGGATAAAAGAGAAAATAAAATCAAACAAAAAACAAAAGCATATTCTATTTCTTATGCAACTAAAAGTAAACCTGGCTGATTCTCTAGCTAAGGATAGGATGACAATGTCCAGTCTAGTTTGCAGGGCACCAGGCTTAGGGATGCAGCCACCTGGCCTGATTACACATTTCTAATCAGAAGGCTCATTCAGCTAGATGCTGTGTTTTATCCCACACTTGAAAGATTCTTAAGTGCAGGGTTATTTCCTTATTTTATTAATAAGTTTTTTATCATGGTTACTGATCCAAAAAAAGGTACATATCAATTGCACTTATAGGAATAATACTGAAGTTCCCCCTATTTCTTTCTTTTTGTAGTACAAAAGTATACAATTTCCCTATCTTGTTCATCTATACATTTCTAATCATCGGGGTTAGTCAGCTACATGTGTTTCATACTCTATGCTTGAAGATTTCTTAGGTATAGGATTTTCTCCTCGTATCATTGACAAACTTTGTTTGATGAAGGTTAGTAATCCAGAGGAGAATAAAAAGGTCATCAGAAATAAACCTGATTGCACTTGTAGGAACAATACTAGAAGTTTCCCCCATTTCCTTGTTTTTGTAGTACAATTCCGTATTCAAGCCCTGCTCCTTGAACTGGGTAATAATCTGGGAACAATAAAGGGAGTTATAACCAGGTTAGCCTTTGACAAGCCTCAGCACAAAAAAAGGGGATCCAGATATACATTACCTGAGTAAGCCTCATTTTGAACTCATTTTGTACATCGTTAGATTGTTGCTTCATAGCTTTCACAATAGGTGCATTTGGACAAGTCTTCCACCCATATAACCTGTCCACCTTCATGGCCAAAGGAAAAATAGGGAAACATGAATAAATTTACCAAAATGAACATGTTTTGTGCTACATCACCAGAAAGCAGAAATATTGTAGGGTTAACAATTTAGGAGAAAAACACACCTTATTCAATCCAACGATGAATTCTGTATTCCTCATTTTTAAAAGATTGAGAGATTCAATTGTCTGTGGTTCTAGGCCATGCATTATGTCGACAACTAAAATTGCAATATCACATAAACCTGAACCCCGTGACCGTAAGTTTGTGAAGGATTCATGTCCTGGTGTATCAATTATTAGAAGACCAGGAACTCGCAATGTTGCATCAGCTTTTAGCTCTTTGGTTCTCTGCCTAATGTTCTCTGCTGGAAAGTAGGTTGCCCCAATCTGCTGTGTAATCCCTCCAGCCTCTCCCTGCTGAACATTTGTGCCTCGTATGCAATCTAAAAGCTTGGTTTTGCCAGTATCAACATGACCCATAATGCAACAAATTGGAGAACGGAGGTTTTCCGCACTCCGGTTTGAAGGAACCTCTGTAGACTGCATTTTTCTTTTCACTGGACCTTCTTTTTTCATATTCTTGGCTGTGACTTCAATCTCTTCTTGATCCTCTTTACTTTCAATGCTTTTTGTTCTCATAGGTGAGGGAGCAATAGCCTTCTTTGCAGCAATTGTGGCTTTGGACACTGGAGGGGGCGCTCTTACTTCACCAGGAGTCATTGGTTTGACAGGTTTCATCTCTTTCTTCACCACAGGCTCAGGCTCAGCATCTTCCTCAGCAAACGCACTCTTAGAAGGCAAGTTCACAACAGCATCATCCCAACTCTTTGCATCCCATTCATCATCATCATCTTCATCTTCATCCTCTATACCATTCTCTTCAACCCCATGATCAACTTCAAGTTTCTCTTCCACAGTTGACACCGACTCATCAACTTTCTCAACTTCCAGCTGCTCAACCTCAGCTAAAGCATCCTGTTGGGTTTCCTTTAACTCTATCTTGTCCACATCTTTTACAGGGGCAATATCATTTGTTTGTGTGGAACTAGGCTTTGTCTTCTTTGTCTGATATATTGGTCGTTTTGTTGTTGTAACACCAGTGTCTGCAGTAGGAAGCATAATACCACCCTGAGCAAGAAATTGGTTCCTCATTGCCTCCAGACGACGAGCTTCTTCTTTCTGCTTACCTGTTAAGAGCTTTCCTTCCTGCTTCTTCTTTAAAAGCTTCTCCTTTTCTCTTTCCTTTTTCCTCCACTTGGCCTCCTCAGCCTGCCTCTCAAGTTCCTCTTGTCGACGTCTCTCCTCTTCTTCTTTTCTAAGCCTTTCCTCTTCTTCTCTCTTCTTCCTTTCTTCAGCTTCTTTGCGTCTTGCCAGTGCCTCCTGCATTTCTCTAACATGTTTTGGAACCTTCTTGTCTGAAACTTTGCTCTTGGTTTCTTCTGCTTTTTCCTCCTTTACCTCGACTGCAGCTGCTGCAGCTGCCTTCTTCTCTTTTTCCTTCTCTTTCTTCTTCTTCTTCTTCTTTTTCGCAGCTGCAGATTCCCCAGCTTCTGCTTCAGTTTCCTTCTCACCCTTGTCATCAAGTGGAGCAACTGGTTCAGATTGAACCAGATCCTTTTCCTCTTGCGGAGAATGAGCAATAGGTTTGGGAAGAGGAGGGCCTTCACCAAGCTCTGCAAGAATTTTGTCAAGGTCATCCTCCTCCTGGGCAGTCCTTCCACTCTTCTTCTTCTTCTTTTTGTTCTTTGATGTCTCCACCATATCCTCACTTCCCTGGTTACTAGTTTTGGCATCAATCACATTATTTCCATTGGCTTCATTACTACTGCTTCTTAGAGAAGGTTGCCCAGTTTCAGTTACAGCAGTCGCTTCATCTTCAAGGCCTGTGCCAAAACTGCTGGCTGCAAAGAGACTAACATTTTTCTTTGACTTCGAAGGCTTCTTCTTACCAGAGAAAGCAATTGCTGGGGCATCTTCATTCTCCATTATGCTTTCATCTATGGTGTCATCACCAGACTTGGTGGATGATTTCTGCTCAGATACAGAAATATCATTGCCATCATCTTCATCAAGGAGAGCAGCACCAAACAAGCTACTGCTTTTCTTGGAAGAATTTGATGATTTCTTCTTACCAGAGAAGGTAACCAGAGCATCTTCATCCACTTCTTTATTTTCATCATTGGTTTCGACCTCATCCACAAGGCCAACAAAACTAGAGGCAGTAAACAAACTACTACTCTTATTAGACGATTTGGAAGACTTCTTCTTGCCAGATAAAACAATTGCAGTATCATCATCCCTAGTTTTATTTTCCTTGGTGCTTTTCTGTGCAGATTCATTATTTTCAAGACCATCACCTTCATCGAGAATGGCGTCAAAAGAAGAAGCAGTGAACAGACTATTGTTCTTCTTGGAGGATTTCGAAGATTTCTTCTTACCAGTGAAAGTAACAACGGGCTCTTCCTCTTCCTCTTCTCCAACGTCATCCTCCTTGACAGAAGTTCTGAGGGGACGTTCATCATCTTTATCCTCCCCCACCTCCTCCTCGTCAAGAGCATCAAAAGCAGACGCAGTGAACAGACTCTTATCAGTTTTCTTTGATTTCGACTTCTTCTTACCAGTAAGCACAATAGCTGGAGCATCGTCTTCCGCTTCGTCTTCTACGGTCTTCTCTTCCTCGTCAAGGGCATCGAAAGCAGATACAGTGAACACACTGTTACCAGTTTTCTTTGATTTCGACTTCTTCTTACCAGTAAGCAAAATAGCAGGAACATCGTCCTCCACTTCTTCTTCTACGGTTTTCTCTTCATCTTCATCTTTGGGCTTTGTTGCCTTGGAGTTGCCCTTCTTCCCCTTCTTTTTGCCGGCAATGGGCATGATGTCATCCTCGTGGTTTTGATTCTCGGAACCAGATTTCTGTTGATCCTCGGACACCTCAATCCCAATGGAGTATTCTTCGTCGTCGATGGCATGCCCTTTCTTCTTCGATTTGGCCCCACCCTGAGAAACAGCAGGGTTCTCGTCGTCCCGCGCTGAAGGCTTCTTTCTACCCATATAGATTAAACAATTTTTGTCTCCACAGAATCGGATTCAGAATAGAGCTCAGCCTGCAAAGAAAAATGAAACTAAAACCTAAGTAACTATAAGCACTGTAACCCAAATAAGCAGATCTCTACTTATACCCTCGACCACAGGGAACTGATCAATCGAAGCTTCGAAAAGAAAAACCCTAAATCAAAAGAAGGACCAGAGAGATCGTGTGTAGATTAAGACAGTAATGTATAATGACAGAAAGTAGACAAAAGTGGTAAGCGGGAGACAGAGAGACGCAGAGAGAGAAAGAGAGAGCTCACCTGTTCTGGTGTTCGAGACTACGAGTACGACGATAGAGAAGTCTTCCTATGACGATAGACTGATCTGAATTCGACGAGGAATCGAACAAGAGAAATAGTGTTAAGGGGTTTGGGTTTGTGTTGCAAGTTGCAACAAAGAAGTAACTCCGAAATCCAGGATTGAGCTGCAATAAACGAACAGCAGACATGCAAGACACAATGAGTAGTACCAACTCGGAGGAAGGCCGTTTCTCTCTGTGCGTGAGCCGTGAAGCGATTTTACTTAGGGATCTAACTGGGCTGGGCCATAGAGTAGGCCCTTAAAATTATCCTCTAAGCCCTGGGCCCAGTTTAATATGGACTTTAGCCTAGAGCTGTCAGCTGTCAAGGATTCGGGCCTAGCCCGGGAAGGATGGAATTGATTCCGAAATCCGAACCAAATTCTATCGAAGCATCGGTTCTGTAATCTGTAAGACCAGACCTAGAACCGACTATTAATCGGGTCTTACCCGACCCAATTATACTTGGTATGTATAATTAGCTAAATTTAACAAGTTGCAGCTTCATTTTTGATAATACAGCCTTAATAAAAATGGCAGTAAATGGCAAAGTGCTTATATGTTGATAAAACAAAGTTTTTATTTTGTTTTGAAATTTGTCCTTTCAGACATTACATTATAACAAAATTTATAAAAAAAATTAAAAAAAGCTTTATAAATTATATGCAAATGTGCACATGCTTTAGACACGGCAATTTAGATGAAGATGATGTAATGATAACAATAATAATTTGTCCAATTTTTTCTTCAACTTTTTTTAATTTTTTGTATGTATTTCCATTTTAAAATATTATTGTTTACCTATGACAATATGGATTGATCCATTTTACCTAAATGGTTGAATTTTTCATCCATTATATGGATAGAAGAATAATTTGAGTTTTGTTTTGGGTTAGTTTTAGAGAGTATGATTTCTATTTTGTCAAATGTATTGGATATAATATAGGTGGTACAATTTATTGATGAGAAACACTTTACATATAAGATTTAATGAGAGGATGAGGATTGATATTTTAGATTTAAATTTAATAAGTAGGAATTGATTGAAGTGAAAAGTATCTAAATTTAAATTTAATGAAAATGCATCACAAATGCTTTACCAACCAGATCTGAATTATTTACCCACCATATCCTATTCAATAAATCATGCCCTCTTTGCCAAGGGGAGGATGAAACGATAAAACACATCTTATTTTACTGTCCTCTCTCTCAGCAGATCTGGTTCGGATCATCCATGAGCCTAAAGACCGCTTCTCACCCAAACTGGTCAGGTCAACTACAGACTGGCTTGTGCAGTCGAGGACTCTTGGTAATGGATCAGCCAATTCTACTTACCTGTTTGTTGGCGGATTTGCAATCATGTGGCAGATTTGGAGAACGAAAAAGGCCTCGTTTGGTTTGCAGGAATATGGGGTCTGAAATTGGAATCTATTTCTATTATTGTTGGAATAACATTCTTCCATTTGAAGGAATATAAATAGTCATTCCCCGCCCTTTTCTTAAGAATGAAATTTCATTCCTATTGATTTCATTAATTCACATTCTCATTCCTATATAAATTAAACAGACTATGGGAATAGATCATTCTGATTTCGATTTCAAAATATTTTAATTCCGATCCTGATTTCAATTCTGCCTGCGAACCAAACAGACCTTAAATGTTTTTTAAGGTAAACCTTTCGAGCCAATGAAGATAATTGTAAGTTCTCATGCATTCAATGTATGGTGTTACGTGGACTTCAGCTTCTGGCATTGGCATCATCCTTAGAGACTCCCTCTCAACCATGGTTTTCAAAACCGGATTGGACCGGATAGTCGGACCGAAAAAACTGGGAATCGATCACTTGACCGGTTCCGTTTTCCCCAAAAACTAAATTTTCCCTCAAAACCATTGATCTTGGTCAGCGAACCACTGAACCGGATGGTTAACTGTTCAAACAGTTTTGACCAATTTTTTTTTTGTCAGAACAGGTCGAGCATTCAGTTCGAACGATCGAACTGTTCGACCCGATAACCAAACCCTTGACCGGTTCGATCACCGGGTCGGTTTTAAAAACCATGCTCTCAACTTTATTCATTTATGCTCGAGCAATACCTGAATAGCCAGGTCCTCCTATTGTCGCTGAAGGCTGAAGCTTTAGCGTTTCTAAGAGGTATCCGATTTGCTGGGGACCTTGGTATCACCCCCGTTCATCTTGAAGGCGATGCACAAATGATAGTCCAGCTCCTGTTGGAGAATAACCTCTCTCCCCATGGTGTTTATATAACTGAGTGCACGAGCATTTTACAAGTTTCTCCGTCAACCGCATGAGAAGACAGGCTAATCAGCCAACATAATTCGTTCAAGTTTTAATCAATTCAGAACAGCAAGATCTGGTCCAAACCCAAATATAATCGGAACACAATACTCATAACCAAAACTATATATATAAATGGTTTTTATACAAGAAAAAAAAAAAAGTGTTGCAGATGCTTTTAATCATTCAGTTACATTTCTTGACAAGTAACCATACCACTTCAAGTGTTGAAGATAGAGAATTTACTAAAATGAAAAAAAAAAAAATTAAGCATCTCATATAAATCTCAAGGTACAAATATGTCTCCTCATAAAAACCCTTTACTCTATGTTTGGTTTGAAGAAAAATGTAGGGAAAGGTAGGAAAACCTTTACAAATTTTGTATAAGTTTTCCTCAAACCAAATACAATCTTAATGTCTTAATTTTTTCTATTAAAGTTTATCATTCTCTCTCTCTTACTTCAATATTCAATGTTTGTAATATCTCCCTCCCCCATTTGATCCCTCTATTTCCTCTTAGAAATCTCCAAACCACTTTTGACCCTTCTAGAACATGGGTATAAGTTTAGATAAGTTAGGTGGGGTTAGGAGCCAGCACAAGACTATTTGTAAATATGAACCTCCTTGGCCTAGTACCAAATTGATGCCAAAACCCAAATTCACCACCCCAAGCCTAGCCAAATTTCTACTCAAGCCAGCATGTTAATCTCTTATCATAAAATCTCATAAATCTCAATGTACAAACATGTCTCACCATAAAAAAGATGTCTTAATTTTCTCTATTATAATCTATCATTTCTGTTCTTTAATAAAATTATAAAATTATGGATGATTTACTAGAACACCCCCTATACTTTCTCCCAAATTTACCAACCCAAACCTAATATAATTTAACTCAACCCAAATTAAGTATCTTAATCTCTTATCATAAAATCTGATGACTCAGGGTACAAACGTGTCTCATCAGAAAAGCTGTTTTAATTTTCTCTATTCAAAACTCTCATTACTATCCTTTAATAAAATTATGAGTCATTTACTTGAACATCCCCTTTGGTTTCACGGATTTGCATAAACCCACCCTATAATTTTCATTTTATAATTAAAACAGCCCTATAGTTTGTAACCTATTTACTTAATTAATTGACCTTTTCACTACGAAGTGTTTGTTTTGCCATCTGAGTATAGTAACCTATTTAATTAATTAATTGACCCTTTCACTACGAAGAGTTTGTTTTGCCGACTGAGTATAGTGCCCCTAACACTTCTTTATACAGAAAACAAAATTAATCTAATGGAGCCAAATAAAGTGGTTGCTTGTGTTTTATTAGGGAAAAAATTGGTATTGTTATTTTTATTCCCCTTTTGATTAAACTTATTAAAATGGGCATTAGGGTCAAAACTGTCATTTTCCATTGTCATCTAATAAAAGGTTGATTAAGTAAATCGATTGCAAAATATACGGGTGTTTTAGTCAAACACAAACTATATATATGGTAAGTTTTAGTAAATCCATGAAACTATAGGGGTGTTTTAGTAAATGACCCTAAAATTATTCTCAATTATCTTTCTCACTATCTCACTTTAATACTGGATGTTTGTAACACATCCCCTCCCCCATTAAATCCCTCCATTTCCTCTTAAATATCTTTAAACCCCTTTTGACCCTCTCTAATAAAACACGGGCAGAATGTAGATGGGTTGAGTGAGGTTAAGGGTCCATCCAATACCAACCGTAAACGTGGCCTTGGCCTATAACAAAACTGATATCAAAATTCATATTTCAACCCAAACCTAATCAAAATCCTATTCCACCCCATGAGTCTGCATAAACTTACTTGCTAATGCTTTTAAGATTTGTGAGTTGTGAGGATGGATAGTAGGCATTATATTCTGAGTTATACATACACATATATATAAATTTATACTATATATAGTGTGGATGCATAGTGAAAGATGTTTTAGACTAAAATTACCCTCTATTTATTTGCTTGAGAAAGGGTATAAAAGTCATTTTATTACAATTTTAATATGCCCATATTTGTGTATTTAGTCAATATCTAATTGTAAGGGTTGAAAATATAACTTCAATTATTACTTTCCGCCTCATTTAATCCTCTATCATTAAGTCTTATAATTAAGTTATTAACTCTCATTTTCTTTTATTAAATCCTACGTTTAAGTTATTTTCATTAATAAATGCTACTAATTAGATCTATTTATTTAATAATATAAACCCATATATTTTAAAACCAACTCAAAAACAAAATAATTTTTTTATCCAAGTGGTGGCTAAGCAATTCAACCATCAAAATCAAATTTATCAACCTATGAAGTCATAGTTAGGTAATAATTTTTTTTAAATAGAAATAAATATAAGAAATTATTAAAAATGTAGAAAAATTAGACACATTTATGATATTTCTATTAAATAAATTAAAAAATAAGTGTAATAAACAATAACATTTTATTGATAACGAAAATGAAATACATAATTTAGAATTGACAAAAAATGAGATTACTTTACTATTTGACAAAGATCAATAGTTAAATTTTTGGGTTAAATGTGTTAGCATTTAATGTCATAAATAAATAGTAAAAATTAATAAAATATAAAAAAATACATACATTTTGCAAAAAAAAAATATTTAGGTACATGTATAATATCATATAATTATCATATTAAACAAAAGTAAGCGTGACATATCAAAATTTTTTTACACAAATACAAAAAAATATATATATAGAAAAAATTGCACACATCTATAATTTTATATTTACACTACTATTAAAAATATGAATAAAATTGTGGAACTTTACTTTGATTAAAGTACTCATTTTTGGATTTAGTCTTTATTTAATTGTGAAGTTTAAATTATAAATTGAACTAATACATTTTCACCCCAT